GGGGAAGGAATCCTCTCACGCACTTTGCACGCTCTCGACATGATAGACCGGACCAAATGCCCCGCCACACACGCGGCCGTAACAGAGGCAGAAGCCGATCCCGCAGATATTGGCGACAACCCTGCACTCACTCACCACTCATAGCTCCAGTACCACACTACCTTCAGCCACAGCAGATGCCCATGTACCCCTACCCACCCCCCTACCCAGCAGCCCCATCACTGCCTACCGTGATAATCCCGCGATCCAAAGCAAAACCCCGCACCACCCGAGGCCACATCGCATCCTCCCAGGCACATGAACCGCCTGCCGACGACATGACAGCGTATGCCAACCATACCACCCCCCACCTCGCTGACCACACAGGTATGAGTTTCGCACTTGACTCAGGTGCGCATCCCTCCCACCTAGAAAAACCTACCCCGAACATGAAACCCCTCAAAAAAAATCTTAACTAACACGGCGACATCCACCACGCCCCCCACGACCCACTACGGCAACATACAGATCCGGATGACGAGGCATAACTACCTTAACCTACCGGCCATTGCCAATCCAGCCCTGAAGATCCACCTTCTGTCTGTTCATGACATTTCCCGTCAGTGGGGGGCAGTAGTATTCACCCCCAACAAAGCCACTGTCCTCAACACCACAGCCTCACCCGCTGTCCCCGTTGCCACAGCCACCTTTTGCAACGGCCTATACTTCCTCAATACGCACCACCAACAAGCACACGGCGCACGCACATTACCCACCAACCCTCGCAAAGCCACTACAAGCAAGGGCACTCCATTCCCCACAAGCCCCTGCAACCCCCTGCAAATCAGGAGAACGGCACACAACAGCCCCACACTGCAGCGACCGCAACTCCCCATGCACCAGCAACCAAACCCTGCCACGCCGCCCGCTCCCCACCCACGCCCAGAGATGGAGCGAGACTTCCATCATTACCACATGATTTTTAACCACATACGGCCAGGCACACTTCAACGCATGTCAAAACAAAACCTTGTTCCGAGCCTCCTGGCGTCCCTGACCAAGACGCCCCCAAGAATCACATGCCCGAGCTGCGCTGCTGCCAAACTCAAGCCGGCACCCCACAAGAGAGCATCCCACTCATACGACACTGGCGAAGCCATGAGCAGCGACATATGCGGACCGATCACACCCGCATCTCGCCAGGGAAACCGATACATCCTAACCGTCATAGACACCAACTCCCGGTTCCTCATCGTCGACTTCCTTCCCACAAGGAAAGCCACCCCACACCGGCTGGACAACATACTGCAGCACATCAAACATAGTCTACACCGAACCCCAAGCTCACTCCACACAGATAACGCCAAAGAGTACCTATCCCTTGACATCAAGCATGTATTCAACAAACACGGCACATCACACACGACAACAACGCCTTACACCCCCAGGAGAACAGCATAGCCGAACGCATCAACGGCACGATAATGAATGCTGCCCGAGCAGCACTCCACCACAGCTCCCTTCACATATCTCACTGGGAGGACGCTGTACGCGACGCGACCTTCAAATACAACCATATATTCCACAATAGCACTGGTTCTCTACCCACCACTCTATGGCATGGACGAGCTCCGAACGTACCCCAATACCTCCTATTCGGTCAACTAGGAACCACGCCGCACATGGCCAATCGCGCCACAATACCCAAACTGCACCACCGCTCGATTACAGTACGATACTTATACGCCACAGATCCCAAACACAGTGTCGTATTGGCCCTACGCACTAATAAGACCATGAGAAATCGAACAGTCAACTTCAACGCGTACCACAAAAAGCGTGACCCCCTTGCCACGACCACTGCAGCATCAAAGCTGTGGTATAACTACCTTCGTCCGGACCACTTGGAAACGAGGGGGGTTAGAGGTAAGGGAGCGCGCGCCGCTGGGTAACCCACGCGCGAACGCAGACCGTACGGATGGACTCGAAAAGAGGGAAGGCTCACGTGGCCGGTGACGCGCAGCCGGTCCGTGGTGTTAGATTCAGACGGCCGGTCACGGGTTAGAAGCCTGAGACTAAAAGGGAAACCGGAACAGGATAGCAATTAGCCGTAAAGGGAAGGGAGGCGAGTCTGCCTCCCGTTTACTGGAACGGGGCAGGTGCCCCCGGTCTTAACCCCTAAGTGGGACGCCAGGACACCTGTCCCGCTACAGTAGCTGTTGCTTACTGTATACCAGCTACTGTGCTAAATTGGCTAATTTGTGCCATTAACTACTAATTACTAGTTAGCCACCGTACGGATTATACACGTGTGCCCGTTGGCACGATCCCGGCTAACGGTTGTGCCACGTGTTACCCGTGGCCACGCCCGCTGGTACCGACTGTCCCGCGTCGGACCCTTTGGGTACTACTGTGCACGGCGGCGGGCGCGTGTACCCCTGCTCGCTGCAGTAGCACTCGCCCTCCCGCGCGGTCATCATCTCGCCGGGGGGTTGTGGTACGGAATTGTACTACAGACCCCCTTCGTTACTTCGCGACACGTCCCCGTCGCGGCCGACGCCTGCAATGACCGGCTTGCAGGGGGCGCCCACCGTACGGAAAAGCCCGCGCCGACCGCGGGAACGCGGTCGGACTGCGGTCGAATCCATAGGGGAGCCTATGGAGTTTTTGGTATTTAACCGTGGCGGTTCCTCCGGTGCAGTGGCGGGTCTCCTCACGCTTCCCTTGTCCCCCACTACTAACCCCCCAACTCACCCCACAGCACACCCCACGACTCACTCCACAACCACCACTATCCACGCCCTTCGTCGCGCTTCTTCCCTTCTCTTTCCTCCTACCAACCCGATGGCGGATCACCGCACGGAACAGGGACAGCCCCCACGCGAGCGGCCTCCTTCGACGGCACCCGCGCCGGCGCTTTCGTTTCATCCGTCGCGGTCTTCGCGCTACGGGGACCAGACCGCTACGGGTCCCTCTGACCGTCAGGCGCGGCTTGCGGGTACCGGCGGCCTCCCGTCTCGGGGCCCCTCTCCCGACGAGCGCGGGCCCTTGCCGCGCCGCCTAAGATCAGCCCCGGCTCCCCGGGTCGGAGAGTTGACCGTACTGAGGCGG